GAGGACAACTTACATGGGATAGCTCATGTTCAGTTGCTTTTGAACGATTAAAAGATAAACTAACATCTGCGCCTGTAATGAACACTCCCAACTTCGCGCAACCGTTCTTTTTGGAACTAGATGCCTGCGACTATGGATTAGGTGCAGTGCTACTTCAGGAATACGCTGAGAAGAAATTTGTCATCGCTTACGCTAGTCGGACTTTGTCAGCTGCGGAACGCAAATATGGTGCCACAGAAAAAGAAGCCTTGGCAATTGTTTGGGCGACCAAACATTTCCGGCAGTACATTGAGGGAGTTCCATTAACAATACGTTCCGACTGCAAAGCACTTCAGTGGCTAAAAGAAGCCAAGGACCCGTATGGACGTTTAGCCCGATGGACAATGCAACTAGCTGCTTTTTCTACGAAAATTGTTTCGCCTATACTTTTTTCCTAGTCAACGAGAGACCTGCGATTTTCACCATTGGAATCAGCGCGCAAAACTGCATCAGGAAATGTGGTTTTCACTCTGCGCTCGCTAGGTCGATGTAATGATGGTAGGTATCAAATGGATTCAGCCAATAGTTAGAAAAAGTTGTGCTTTTCGGCTTAGCACATTAAAACTGCGATTATTATGAGTGAAAACATCCCCTACTTTGACAGATCTTTTTAAAAAACAGACTCTGACGAATTCTAAAATTTACACCCCTCCCTAAAAAATACCTGGATCTGCCACGAAGAAAGTTTTGTTTTGTACAAATCTAACCAAGAGAAAATTTTCTTGAGAGTTATGTGAAAAAATTGTCTGAGTCATTTCTTTTTTAACTGAGAACCAAACTGTACGCGTTTTCTAACCACCTGCAAAAGGGAGCAAACCGCCCAGCCTCGGCATTTCGGATGGAAAGTATTATTCTAAAAGAGAAAAGAAGCACTCAAACATATAACAAGCCTTTAGCGAGCACAGGTTGTACGGCATACTTTTCTAAAACTTGCTCAAAGATATCTGACTGAATGTCGTTTCTCTTGATCCTTGGCATTTATAGTTTAAGAGTAAGAAGAAGAGGTGTGATATCGCATCCTTAGTTTACAAAAAATGCTTCGCGATTTCACGAGGCACAGTTCTACGATCGTGGACCAAACTTTACACGATTTGATGGGCCAAACTTGTACGATGTCATGGGATTTAGAAATTTTCGTCACCTCTATCAGATGCAGTTTTAGACGAGGATTTCAAATATGTGTCTTGCAAAACTATAGTATGCTTTTGGAAAAAGTTATACGTCGATTTTTCAAAAATAGAGGTTTTTAGGTTTCGGAGGTCCTCTCAGTATTTTGCGATCTTTTCACCTTGGATTTATTTTCTTCGAGTTAAAAAGGTGTTATTCGTGTTCAGCTTGTCCTCGCATCAGAATATCTATAACAAAAGCCAAAAATAAATTTCACGGAAAGTTTGCATTACGTGCACCTTACATTACATTTAGTCGAACTTGCTCACTACTGGATTCACCCAACGGCACAACTAACTTACCGAGTTACTGATCGAGCGAAATGTGTTTAAAAAGAACACCACTGTTAGAGTATATATATAACATATTCAGACCTTTCATTTCTCTCTTTTCATTGTCATCCTCTTTAAGAGAAATATCTTCATTGTATTCAAGCAAGATGTTTTCACTCTATTCACATCCATTATAGTCGAGAGAAATACCTTCATTGTGTGCAACATAAATAGTTT